AAAAAAAAAATACACCGCTCCGATCATACACACGGGGGGCGGAGCTAGGGTGCGCAAGGGGTTCAATTGAATTGCCTTCATTGGAAAATTATGATACACAAATAGGGTAAAAATGAATCATAATTGTCGAATCCCCTTGGCGCAGGGAAAGATTATAGTGTAGTGGCAAAGGGATTCAAAAATTGCTTTCCATTGCAGGTTCAAATCCCAGGTGTGACATTCTTGTATTTTTTTTTTAATTACCCTTGTCAGAATTCCTAGCTCTGCCACTCGCCCCAAAAATACACACACATACACACGCAGAAAGACAAACAATTTGGCGATGATTGACATACCAAAGGTTGTGCAGCATCATCTAATTTATCTAGCAAACCATGGCGATAAGCCAAATGGCGCCATAGCATTTGATACTCTCTTGCATTAGTAATCCCAGTTGTAGACTTCTTCACCAATGCATTCCAATCAATTTTCTCATCTGCTGCAACTTGTGCTGCCACCTCACCCAACACTCCCAGTACAGTTGTTGCATTATACCTTCAATATTAATCACCAAACAAAAATATCAATACCAAAAAAAATGATTTAGAAAAAAGAATGAAGAAGCAAAAAGAGACCTTTGTAAGAGAGTGGACATATCTTCTTCAGTCACAAAACACTTTTGTTTCTTCGATTTCTCGAACATTCTCAATCCCTTGATATTCTCTATTTAAAATCACATTCGATTGAGGAGAAAGAAAGGTGAGTATGATACAAGAGAAAAACCCTAGCTAGGGGAAGAACGAAGAAGATGAGTATGACGACGTCGTTTTTGAGACTGACCGTTGAAGAGCGTCGAAGCAACGCGTTACTCGCAACGGAGAGAGAGAGAGCTCAGTCAAACTGAGTTTTTAGAGGTCGAGGAATGTGAAAATGCTAAAAGAAAAAAAAGTATCCTTTTTACATCTCTTTTTAATAAATTTCACTATTTGGTAAAAACACAGGAATTTGCCAAGTGATACTCTGTTTATGTGGTGTAGTTTACTTGTAAGTAGAGTTTAGGAAAAAAGCAAAACTATAAGGGATTTATTATTTCGGGATTTATTATTCTGAAATTATTATTTTACTCTTATATACGGATAAAAATAATACTACAATTCAAGGATAACTAATCTCAGGATTAATTATATCGTGATTTTATCCCAAACAAATATGAGATAAACCCATCTCAAATTTAAGCTCAAGATTAATGATCTCTTATTCCTTGTACCAAACGAGCCCTAAGTAACTTGTAATGTTAAGCATGTTGTGATATTTTGCTGACTACTCCATAAGAGTATATTATTAATGGTAAAATAAAACTTAAGTTAAATTATTCTAAATATGAAAATTGACATTATTCTTGAAACTGGCTAGTAAAAAATAGTATCACATTAAATGGAGTAAAAGAAGTACTAATAACTATTTGGCTAACCAACAAGGGTTGTGGTATAGTGGTAAGTACTACTTTATTCCTAACCAGAGGTCTCGGGTTCGAGTCCCTGGGTATGGAGTCGCCTTTGTTAGGGAGCGCTTTAATCCCAATGTGGAACTTTCCGGCGTCGGATTTAGTCGGGTCCCAATACGGGAATCGAACACCGAGTAGGAAACCAAAAAAATAACTATTTGGGTGTTAAAACATCGGCGGTTATCAAATTAAATACCCTAATACGATGAAGATTAATTTCAATATAGACACGCAATACATGCAAAATGAATTTTTATGTGGTTAATAAACAAGATGGTAATAATTTTTATATAGTTGTTGTATGAATATCGTTAGCTAATCTCTATGTTTGTTTAACTCCTATAGCAAAATCCTCATTTTTGTCCTGCGCTTACAAATTTTAAATGCCAAGAGGGCCTGAATATCTAAAAATACATCCATTTATAGTTATATTTTCATTTTGGTTATTAGGATATTATTCTTAGATTATTCTATTTACTCGTAGAACCTTAATCATTCATGGGAATATAACATTATGATTGAAAAACCATCATTAGGACATTGTTTGGCTGCACGTTTTTTGTAATATTGTCTATGGACATGGCAAAATCGCACTAAAAAAGGTTTTTCCTACTTTGCAATTATTGGTACGAGGAATTTCACTTTTGAGAATTAAGGTAGTACCTTTAGCTACTTCAATCAACAAACATGTGACATAACCATTGGCTATCACTAATAGTATAACATTTTCAGTTTCTCATTGGACCAAATTTTTGTGTTTTCTTTCACTACTTAAAAAGTTAGTAATAAGTAAAGAGAATTCTACTTTATTTTATTTTAAAATTGATAACTTGTTTGACTAATACTTGCCTTTAGTAATGCTGAAGGGATACGAAAGTTTGAATGTATTTATATCCTCTATTCCATGTGGAAGCGGATGCTAATTAAATCCATTTTTTCATAAATAAAGAAGAGAATGGCATGTTTGGTACTGAAGTTTAGTTTGGTATCTAATTTAGCCCTCTATTGTAACGACCCGACTGGTCGTTTTGAATTTCTGCACTTCGCTCGATATTTTGAGGACTCGAGTATTTCCGCACGATGTATTATGACTTGCGTAAATCGTCGGTATTGGTTTTTCAAGTTATCCGGAATCGATTTGGAAGAATGAACTTCAAGATTTGAGCTCTAGAATTGACCAAGTTTGAATTTTTAGCATTTGACCTCGGAATGGAGTTTCGTCGGTTCCGTTAGCTCCGTTGGGTAATTTTAGACTTAGGAGCGCGTATGGATTGTAATCTGAAGGTCCGTAGTCGAATTAGTCTTGAATTGGCGAACGTTGGATTTTTGAGAAGTTTGACCGGGAGTGGACTTTTTTATATCGGGGTCGGATTCCGATTCCGAAAGTTGGAATAGGTCCGTAATGGAAAATGTGACTTGTGTGCAAAATTTGAGGTCAATTGGAGGTGATTTGATAGGTTTCGGTATCGGTTGTAGAAGTTGAAATTTCAAAGTTCATTGATTTTGACTTGAGGTGTGATTCATCGTTTCAAGGTTGTTATGCATGATTTGAAGCTTCGAGTAGGTTAGTTTGGTGGGCTTGAAAAAGGTAGCGAATGGTAATCGGATCTGCGGTATTTCCTTGTCAAGAAAGGTCTACATGTCAATGTTGGAGTGATGCAAGAAATGGCTTCGGGTTCCCAGGAAGCTCCCTCAGGGCGGTCATATCGGATTGAGTTACTTTCAGGTTGGCAGTCTGCGTGACTCGGTTGAGTTAGAGGTGATTAGTTCTGATTACTCGATTATGTGTTACTGAGTTCCGAAGAATTTATCATGGTTATGACCACAGTCGGAGTTGGTTTTTACCACAAGTATAGAAGCTATATTGCGTATGGTGGTATTCTCCTGGATTGAGTTAAATGAAAGATTCTTGGTTGATGAGGTGTTCAATTTGCTTATGGTTCAGAGTTGACCATATGATTTTCGTAGTATCGCGAGTTAGCATGTTAGGGGCGATGCGCCGTATGGGGTTGAAAAGTTGCATGTACAAGGTTGCAGTTTAGTTTTGGAGGGAGGGATATGAGTTCTTGATGACATGGACGATTCAGGTGTCTAAGGTTTTGCTGGCACTATCTGTTCCCACCGGAGGAGAGTTCGCATGTTGGCAGGTGCATTGTGTGTTGACTTATGAGTATTTTTCCGTAGAATGATGGAATGTGGGTGACACATCAGCCATTTGAGTAGTGGTGTTGAAATTGGATATGAAGATTCTGGTAATCGCGAGGTTTAGAGACTGGATGTTCTAGTGGCAGACTATTCCTTGACTGCGAGTCGTGAAGAAATGTTGAGGATTGGACGATTGATGGTAGGTGTTATGGAAAGGTTGCTATGGACTTTTGGAAGGTTAATTACATGTTTGGGGATGATCGGAAATTAGTTTGGGGGTTGCTTTTGAGCCTAATGAGAATGTGTATTCTATATCGGATCAGATTTGTTTGTTCTTGCGCAGTTGTTACCACATGTATATCATCGGGCGGAATGGATGTTATTCGCGCCTTGGTTTATGT